CTGAGATGATACCTATGCAACACCGTGGCTACTTCTGTGTTTTGAACTTTGATAGTCTGGTGTAGTGCAATTTGTATGTAGTTAAGAAGCATTTGTTTGGGCTGGGGAGACGGCTTAGTTGTCAAGGTGCTTGCCACACGAGCTAGACTGAGGACCTGAGTTCAGATCCCCGGCACTCACAGAAAAACCAGGAGTGGTGGCATGAACCTGCAGTCCTAGTCCTGGAGGTAGGGGCAACGGAGATAGTTAGATCCAGCCAGCCTAGCCATACTGGCTTATCGAGAGAGAGCATATCAGAAAAAATAGAGTGGACTATATTGACCTTTGACCTCTACATGCACATTTGTACATGCACACATCCACAAAAGACATGCACATACTACATACACATACACACACACACACACACTCACACACTCACACTATTTGTTTATCCCTAAGTTTCAGAGATTGAGATAAGGCCTCATATATAAGAGGCTGGCCTTAAACTTGCTGTGTAGTAGAGTGTGACCTTGAACTTCCAATCCTACTCCTCCATGTCCAGTACACTGGGATCACAGCCAGATGCCACCACACCTAGTTGATATGGTGTTAGGGCTCGAACCCAGGCCTTTGTGCATGGGAGGCAAGCACTTTACCAACTGAACAACACCCCAGGCCTCCCACGTGTTCTTATAAAAGTTTTGATTTTACATGTAAAAATGTTTCCTTTTCATCTTATTCCATGTATGTGTATGTGTGCATTCGGTGCCCATGGAGGCCAGAAGAGGGTTCAGATACCTTGGGATTGGAGTTATAGGCAGTTGTGAACTGCCATGTGGGGGCGGGGAATTGAACTCGGATCCTCTGGAAGAGCAATGAGTGTTCTTAACCCCTGAGCCACAGCTCTAGCTGAGTTTTATGGTCACTCTGGACAACAGGTGATGTTAGTTTTTCTATTTTCTTCTTTGTCAAACCTGTTTTGTCTTCTAAACCCCCTTTTTAGAAGATGCTTATGAAATAAAGACAAAACAAAAATCTAACGAGATATTGTGCTTGCAGTATATGTATAGATAAATTCGAGGAGAATTAGCCTCAAGAATATTGAGTCCTCTAGTCTGTGAATATGGTATCTCTCCATTTTTTAGGTCTTATTTTTTTCTTAGCAGTGTTTTGTGGTTGTTTTTCCCCCTATAGGTCTTATATGTGTTTTGTTGGGTTTATCCCTAAGTATTTTACAGTCTTTGACATTATTACAGAGGCATTATAATTTTTAACATTCTAAAATTTCTGAGAGGCATACAATTGGCAAAGTATATTCATCTTACGTCATTCAACCTTGCTGTTATGGGGTAACTAATTACATGGTCAAGTCCCAATCCCAGTGCCTCAGAATGAGATTACAATTGGAAATTTGATCTTTTAAATGGCAATTAGGGTTGCACTAGGCATGGCGGGCTCTAATCCAATATGACAGGGGTCCTTAGAAGGAGAAGAAATTGTAACATTGGCACACACAGAGGAAGATCATGGGAAGAGCCAGGGAGAGAGGCCTCCCAAGAAACCAACCCTGCTAATAACTTAATCTCATACTTCTGGCCTCAGGAACTATGAGAAAATAAATCTCTGTTTAAACTAACCAGGCTGTGGCTCTTTCTTAGTACTAATAGAAATATGACATATTTTCTAAAATATTTCAAGTACCTTCTGACAAATTCTATTGTTTTTATCAGAAGACAAGCATGGAGCCTTTAAAAATAATAATTTTACTTTTTTTGACTTAAATGCCTTTTGTTTCTTTTTCTTGTGTGACTACACTGACTAGGACATCAAGTACAAAGATTATGTGTTTTCAGACATGTTCTTATAGACGGAAGTTTCTGTCCTGAAACTGCTCTCAAATACTCACTCAGAGGCTTAGTTTTAATTACAAATGTTAGGCCAGTAGCTCAGGCTTATTACTAACTAGCTCTTATTTACACTCTGTCACATGGCGGTACTTTATTAGCATGACACAATCATCTCCTGCTCCCCCTGCATCTGGCTGGTGACTCCAGACTCTTGACCTTCTTCTTCCGGCATTCTCCTAGTCTGGCTCTCCTGTTGTGATTAAAAAAAAAAGTGGCTTGAGAAAGAAAGACACCACACGACAGAGTTCAAGTGGAGGAACTTTTTTTTATTAGGGGAAAGGGGGCAGTAGTAGCAATAGCTGAGGGGGAGTCCTGTCAGAACCCCAAAGGCAGGCCAGTACAGATGCCTGAACACTAACATCTCCTGCCTAACCTTATTCTGTCCAGCTACCGGCAGCCATCTTCTTTAGTAAACCAATCACAGAGACATGCATCCACACAGCGTATAAAGGGATTATTCCACATCAGGTTCTCACATGGCTCAAACTGTTGTTGGATTTGCAATGAAGCTGGAGTGCTGGGATTAGAGGCACGTGCCAACTCCCTCAGCCTTTCAAGTGCAATGCTGGAAAGTAGTAAGAGTAGACGCCCTAACCTCCTCAAGATAGTCAAGCACATCCAGTCCTTCGTTGCTGAGTATGATGTGAGCTACGGAGTTTATACAGCTGCTCTCTTTTTTCATATTAAGTTTAGAGCGTTGGTCTTTAAAATTACATCCCAAAGGTGAGCAAATGGGGCCTCTGAAAAGTTAGGCAGTAACTAGTTGTAACTGGTGTAAGAAGTATCCGCAAGCATGGACTCTGTGACCAGTCTGCACTGGCATTGATGGAGCCTTACCAGCTGTGGTACAGGAGGTGGTATCAGAGGTGTTCAAATGTCTTGGCTCTAATTTCTTGTGTAAATGGGCTTGTATCAACACCTACCTGACAGGGTTGTTAAAAGGTTGAAAATATGTAAATTGTGTTTCTCATTTATGTGTATTAGGGACAGGGACGGGCTACTGAGACATGATCTCAGGTAGCCCAAGCCGACTTCAAACTCTATGTATGTTGTCCTAATTGTACTGGAACTTGTTCTGTAGACCAGGCTGGCCTCACCTGCCTCTGTCTCCCAAGTGCTGGGATTAAAGGTATGCACCACTGTCGGGGACTGACTCCTCCCCCCCTCTGGAGCGCTGGGATTATAGGTGTATGTCACTATGCCAACATGCCTGTTCTATGTGGTGCTGAGGCTCAAACAGAACACTGTGCATGCTAGCAAGCACTCTGTCTCCTATATTACATCCCCAGTCCTCTGTAATTCGTAATGTGCCTAAAACGGTGTCTGGCAAATAGCAAATATGACACGTTACATTTTTTAAATTGTGGAAAACAGCAAGATTCTATGGTAGGATGTAAAACCTACCACATTGACTTCCAAATTTGGAACTTTCACCCAACCAAACCTACTCAGTGTCACAGTTTGAATTATCACCTGGTCTTCCTTGCACACAAGCAAGAAGTCTTGTCTACGTATTTGACAGCTGCTGATTGGTGGGAGATTTCTCAGGAAGCCTTCATTTCTCAGCTAGGGAAGGCTGATGGAACCCCTGTGTGAGGTGATAGCAGCTGGGAACAGCTTCTCCGGGTTGGGAAGGTTACTCCTATGATTTGTGTGTGGTTTGCTAGGCACCTCAGTGGCTTCTACTGTGACACTTGTCACGGCTCTTGGCATCCCCTAGGACGATCACCTCTCAGATTAGATTTTAGGGCACGAGTCTTCTGGGTTGGGCAACTCCTCTTCTGGCCACTAGGGACCAAACAAGGAGCATAGAGGTGGCTTCTTTGTCTGAGGAACCACCTAGAGCCTGAGTTAGCAGTTGAATAAACACTGGGCTCTTTTTATTCAGCCCCATGGGGGTGGGAGGTTCAATCCCTTCATGGCATTTTTTTTTTAATTCAGAAAGGATGTGTCTGATTCCAGGAATTCTTGGCTGGAAGAGCTCTTGGTTTCGGATTTGCTTGAGTCTTTTCCTGACCAAGCAGCAGGTTGCTTTGCTCACTTCAACGGTATTGTTACATAAACAAGTAAGCCGTCTGTTTGCTACAGGCAAAGTCAGAGTTTCCATCTGAATTTTGGCTAATCAGGATATAAGGGCGGATTCAAGCTTTGGATTCTTAACCCTCCTAAGCCTCACAGCTGTGTTTCCCCATTTCCACTAAATGCTAGGGTTAAGATTTAGGGAATTATGCAAAACACACTGGCAGTGCCCAGGCTTAAGTGTGTGTGTGTGTGTGTGTGTGTGTGTGTGTGTGTGTGTGTGTGTATGTGTGTAAGGGCTCCCCTGCCTTGTAATGTTGACTGGTGGCCCCCCATTTTTTTGAGGGTGGTGTGAATGCTTGAAAGCACAGGAGAGTAAGTTTACAGGAGATCCAGCAAGTGGTTTCAGGCCTGAGCTCCAGGACTTGCTTTCTCTTAAAATAACTTTAAGGATTGAGTGCAAAAATCTGGGAATGGCACAGTTGTGTGTGCCTTTGCAGATAGATGCACAGCACCAAGCTTCTTCACACATCTAGCAATCACACTGCACACCCTTAAGCAGCTCCCAGCTCAATCAGCCTTCCAGAACGCTACCCTGATGCATTTAAAATCTGCAACTGTGCAAGGAAATGCTCTCCATATAACTTTTAACATTTGCCTATTGTGTACAAGCACACAAGCTGTTTATGCAGAATTTTAGATGCTAAAAGATCCCCCACTAGCGGCTTTGTTTAGCACAAACACTCAAAACTTTATTAAAAAACAGTTTTCAAAAGTAGCTTCATAAAACTAAACACCAGAAAACCTTGGTCGAGGGGTGGAAAATAAATGGTATATCTTTAACCCGCAGAAGTTAAAAGCCTCCTTTTTTTTTCTTTTTTGTTAGCTAACAATGGAAACTTTAAAAAAAAAAAAGTGTTTCCCTCCCTCGGTCTTGCCAAGCAATAGAAAAAAAAAAAAAAAAAAGAAGAAAAGAAAAACTTGTTCCGCTGAGTTCAACCCCAGACAGGCTCACAACTTCCTTCCTGCCTTCCTCCCCCAAGCCCCCGCCTTTCTGCCTCCTCCCCCAACCCCCAACTTTTTTTTTTAATCTTACATTGAACAAACACTGAAGTAGCCGGTAGCAGACGCTGACAGCGGTAGTGTCTCCTACCAAGCAAGGAGCTGCTCAGGGTCGGCCTGGCGTTGCCCCCACCCCCACCCCCTGGATCGCCTGGCCCCTGCGCCGGTACATTCACCCTCTTTGTACCCAAGTTTTTTGTCTTCCATAAGTTGTTGCGGAAATCCTTTAGGGGCGTTTTCTACTTTAAACCACCTGGTCTGTCCAAGACCCGAGTCCACGGGGCATGTCGCCTGCACGGGACCTGGGAGTTTGAGCAAATTGCAGGTAAGCGTGGCGGCTCCTTCCTGGCCCTCGCCTCTGAACCCTCTTTCCGCTCCGTCTGGGCTGGGGCTCCTTCGGGTGTTCCGGGGTCGGAACACAGCGCAGAGGGGAAAGGCTGATTCGGGAGGGTGGCGTGGAGTGGCGCTGGGGATAGCGGAGGCGATTCGGCTTTTCCGCCGCCTCCCCGGCGCGCTGCGGGCGCCTGGGGCTCCGACTATGGGGCGGCTCTGTTGGCGCCGGGAGAGGCTGCCCGCCCGGGATGCGCGAGGCCCTGTCCTCCGCCGCTCCGCTCCGGGTTTAGTATGCCGTCCTCCGGAGGGCTGCAAATTCTCAGGCCTGCACACTTAGAAGGCTTCCGGGCTGCAGCCGTGCAAGCAAGCCAGAGTTCCTGCGATGGATGCATGGGTGCGGGTCCCGGAGCCTACAGGGACACCTGGGTCCTTGCTAACAGGATGAGCTCAGGACTGAGTGACTGCGGACACACAGAACCCCCCCCCACACACACACACGCTGCAGGGTATGAGGGGACAGTAGGGGGCCTCCACTATTGATTCCAGTACTGGATACTGCCGAGTTTTGGTCCCAGGCGCGCACGCGTGCCCACATTCACAAAACACACTAGTGCTGCAAAGTGCTTTGCCTGCTCCCCACCCCCCCCACCCCGCCCCGCACTGTCCCAGGCCTTTCACAGGCGGAGGGAGACAGCCCCATGTCCAGGATCGGGAAAGAAAAAGGCCCAGGTCCCGGTTCAGGCAGCGGTTTGGGGAAGGCAAGTCCGGGTCAGGTTCCCTGTGACTTGGTCTCTGATGTCCTGAGAGGGTGGAGCAGGGCTGCCTGTCATCCTCGACAGCCGGTGTTTGCTCTGGCCAAGGGAAGTTGAGCAGCCTTGCCTAGGGACCCAGCAGCTGTACCTCCTTCCTCGGCCATCCGCGTGGCTACCGAGACTAATCTTAGAATTTGAGATTCTAGGTGTTCTTAGAGCGTGTCGCAAGCTGGGGGGGGGGGGGGGTGGACCACCGCCGGAAACCGGGAACAGAGGCCATCGAGGCAGCCCGGCATGCCTCCGCACGGAGCATCACAGCCCCAGTAGGCCAAGCATCCAGGGGGCACCCTGCCCCCAGCATATTGGGGTCCCGGGACTCCCTCTGGCCTCTGCGGGTGGGCTCTCTCCACCCTCCCTCTACGCCTTCTGGAATTCTGACTTTTCTCCCTGTGTCTCGACAGCCGCGGGATCGTTTATGGAGCTTGGGGCGGGGGCCGAGCCCGCGATCGTGCCCCGTGCCTGCCGCCTAGGCCATGCTGCTCCAACGGCGTGCGGAGCGGTGGCCGCCGGGCCTCCAGGACTAAGCCGGGAGCCGCGGGAGGAGGAGGCGCCGGCGGTGGAGCGGGACCGAGAGCCGCGGCGGCGGGCGGCGCGGCAGACCCAGTACTATGGCTGTGTACTGCTATGCCCTCAATAGCCTGGTGATCATGAACAGCACCAACGAGCTGAAGAGTGGCGGCCCCCGGCCCAGCGGCAGCGAGACACCTCAGCCCTCGGGGAGGGCCGCTCTGAGCCCCGGCAGCGTCTTCAGCCCCGGGAGAGGCGCCTCCTTCCTCTTCCCCCCAGCGGAGTCACTGTCGCTGGAGGAGCCCCCGAGCCCTGGGGGTTGGCGCAGCGGCCGGCGTAGGCTGAATAGTGGCAGCGGCAGCGGTGGCGGCGGCAGCAGCGGCAGCAGCAGCAGCAGCAGTGGCGTGGGAAGTCCGAGTTGGGCTGGTCGCCTGCGAGGGGACGCGCAGCAGGTGGTGGCGGCCCGTACCCTATCACCACCTGGGCCAGAGGAGGCCCAGAGGAAGCTGCGGATTCTGCAGCGCGAACTGCAAAATGTGCAGGTGAACCAGAAAGTGGGCATGTTCGAGGCGCAAATCCAGGCACAGAGTACTGCCATCCAAACGCCCCGAAGCCCGCGTTTGGGCAGGGCTCGTTCGCCCTCCCCATGTCCCTTCCGAAGCAGCAGCCAGCCCCCTGGAAGGGTCTTGACCCAGTGCGCCCCAAGTGAGGAGCGGAGGACAAAGTCCTGGGGAGATCCATGTACAGAGACTCCAGACCCCAACTCCGGGAGGAGAAGCAGGCTCGGCCCACACCCCTCGAAGGACAAGGAGGGAGTGGCCCCTGTGTTACGGCCTGCCAGCCCGATCAGGTTAGGAACTCAGAGTCCATCTGCTTCAGTGAGGTTGGAGGGAGGCACCCCGGCCAGTCCCCGCTGTGGCTCACCCACAGCCATGGAAATTGACAAGAGGGTTGCTCCCTCTCCGGAGCACTTTGGAACTAGATTAGCATTGGCCACTAAAGTGGTAGCTTCGGCCTCATCCGTTGGACCGCACCCTGGACATGATTCTGCCCTCATGGAGGCAGCCTGCAAGCTTGGGGGCGTGCGCCCCTGGGAGGCCCAGATGGAGAGACAGGGGCAGTTTCTGGACAGGGAGACAGGCTCAGCCTCAGAGTCTGGCCGGATCCACATTAGAGAACCTCCTGGGAGGGTGGGAAGAGGTATTCATCCTGCTGGTGGGCAGGGTTCCTGGGCACTTGAAATCATCGAAAGGCCAGAAGAGAGAACTGTGAATGCCCAAAGCTCAGAGGCCTCTGACGACTCGAGATGGTCTAGACTGCCAGGAGACCTGAACTCCGTAGGTCCTGAGGAGGCAGGAAGTAGGACCCCGGGGATCCAAGGGCCCGAGCAGACCCTGGGCATGGGGGAAGGGTCTCCAGCACTGGGCTTGCTTGGGGGCAGCCAGGCAGCACAGGCAGGGACCAGGGATGTGGAGGCAGGAGCTCTTTGTGTCACAATGCTGGGACCTTTACCACCTGGGAAAGTGGCAACAGATTTGAAAGAACCCCAGTGCCTCCCTGGGGACAGGATGGGTGTGAGACCTGAGAGTTCCAGGGCTTGGCAAAGTGCTGTGGAAGGTTCCTTGATCTGGACGTGTGACACAGGGGTGCAGCGGATGGAAACTTGGGGGGGCCAGCTGCATGACAGAGATGCTCATCGTGGCTGCCAAGAGATCCCCCCAGATCAGGAGGGGGAGGCCTCCTTCAAAGAGGCCTGCAGCCCCAGCGGTAGCGTCCCCACCATCCCTGCTGTCATCATCACAGACATGGGTGCTCAGGAGGATGGGGGCTTAGACGAGATCCAAGGAAGCCCTCGGGGTCCCCTGCCTCTGAGGAAGCTGTCATCCTCCTCGGCCTCCTCCACTGGCTTCTCCTCTTCTTACGAGGACTCAGAAGAGGACATCTCCAGTGACCCTGAGCGGACGCTGGACCCCAACTCAGCCTTTTTGCATACCCTCGACCAGCAGAAGCCCAGAGTGGTGAGTGTTACTGTGCATTTACTTAGAATTCATGTTTTCAGCAGGCCTTGGATGCGCTGCGTACTCGCCTGGTTTCCTTACTTTCTGCTGAGCAGTAAGGGCTCCGAGCAGGGCTCTGCTGAAATCACGACCATTATTTTTCTACAGGTGGGTTAGCTGTGGGTCACAGAGGTACTACCCCGAGCACTTTGTAGGCTGACCAGTTGAATTGGAGTCATTCCTACCGTTACACATCTTTAAAAAAAATGGGTTAGAAGGAACATAATATTCATGAATGTCAACAATAACAAGCCTTCCTGATTTCCAAAGATAGTGAACGGAGCTGCTGAATGTGGCTTTCGCTTGATGAAGCGAAACACTTAATGGTCGTGATTCATTCAGGCTGACAAGTTCTGTTGGCTTCATGCAGTCTCTACTCCCAGGCAGAAACGTGAGCGAGGTGATTTGTGACAGGACCCTGACCTCTGCAGATGTGGTTGTGAGGTTGATCTAGGGCAGGAACAACGACTAAGCCTCACTCAGTAAGTCAGGCAGGACGTGGTGATACCAGTGTAGTCCACGTATGGCGTGTGGACTGAACTGTAAACTGTCCTTTGAGACAAGCAGACATTTTCTTAAGTTGTTTGAGTTAGGCACACTGTGTCACTGAAGTTGTGACAGGTCCTTTCCAGGCACATTTGTACTTGTGCGCTTGGGCTCATTATACTGACTCATTTCTACTACATGGTTGATTCCAGCTTGAGGTCAGCCTCTTTTAGAATATGTAAGTGTTAAGGCTACTCTTCTACAGTGGGCTGGCCTTTCTCTTGCCTCTCCAGGAAGGATGGGGGAATTTCCTAACCTGGCATGTAAGAAAGAGGTCGTGGGCTCCGTGTGGGGAAAGCTGCATGGCATTTTAGTGGGTAGCCTTCTGGTTTCATCTTGAATGTGAGATTCCCCCATTTGCACGCCAATAACTTTCTCCATCCCTAGTGGATGCAACATGCTTTATTAAGAAATTTTGGATTCTGAGACACGATGATTCTTTTCAGCTTCTACTTCAGAAATCACGGCCTAGTTTTGAAGATCAGCAATTGCTTTCCCTGAAACCTGTCTGCTGGTGATCTAGAGGCAAATTTGTATGCAAAGTTGAGTCCTGATCAGCCTGGCATTTTGTGGCTGGGACAGGGATCCCGGGCATCTTGTACCTGCTCCCAGGCACCAGCATACCCCCTTAGGGAAGGAGTGGGCAGTCTGCCTGGAGCAGGTAGCCACCACAGGCCAGACTGAAAGTGCTTCTCTTGGCAGGCGAAGCCCAATTCCTCTGCCCTCTGCTCAGCAGTTAGAGGCCCAGTAAGTGAGAGAGGGTCTTCTGCCCACTCCCCGCATTTGTCCCAAAACCCTGAAGTACCCCACACACCCAAATAGCGTCAGCTTGGTACCCAGCTTCCATTTGCTTTCTTGTGGTGGCTGAGCAGCTCTTACCTACTGCTTGTCAAAGAGGTCCACACACCCATGTTTGAAAGGAAGTCTTGTCTGAGAAGGGGTGAAAGGGTATATAAATATTAACAGGTAAACAACAACTTCTTTTTTTCCTTCATTTGTCAGAGTAAAACCAGATGTGTAAGCAGGGAGGGAACTGCTATTTTCCAGTTAGGTAGGAGGCCCAGAGGTGGAAGTGAGCTGCTGTCCTGTCTGCCCACTTCCCAGCTTTGGACAGGTTTTCTTGAACACCCGGAGGGGAGTCAGGAAAAGAAATTCCTGGCTGTCTTTGCTCTCTGAAGCATGAGAGAGAGAGAGAGAGAGAGAGGGAGGGAGGGAGGGAGGGAGAGAGAGAGAGAGAGAGAGAGAGAAAGAGAATGTGTTGGGGTCAGAGACGTGTGAGTAACCAACTGGAAATTATGGGATCCTAGGGACTTTTTCTCTCTGGTTGAAAGCTTGCACTGTGAGCAGAGTTCTCCTCTTAGACTAATGGTGGTGCTAGAGCTTATCTGGAACACCAAACCATCTGCTCATTGGGTCAAGAATCGCTCAATACCCAAGACTGCTATTTTGTCTGCAGGAGGCCAGACATCTTGACTGACCTGGGAGGCCTGTGGGCTGTGCTTTTGATATTTGGCAAATGAAGCTGCTGTGGCCCTGCCTGCGCCTCTTGGACTTGCTTCCGTGTGTACGGCACTACTGTAGTACATCTGGGCACGTTCACGCTTACTCACTGTCGCTCGCACATGCTCATCCTCGCCTTCACATTGCTCACGCACGCTAACACGCGCCCACACGTGTTCACACTCACACCCGTTCACTCATGCACATAGGCTTAAAACGGCATGTTCACATGACCAACCCTGGCTCCCAGACCCAAGTAGACCCTGAGGATTTTTACCACTGCCTCTCTTTCCCACATGCCCTCTGTTGCACCTTGACACATGTGTAGTTGGATGTGCAGGCAGGGTGTTATAGCATATCTGCATCTTAAGGAGCAGACACTTGGGTTTTGCTTGGCAGTAACTATCGTGAATCTGTCTGCAGTGGCTTAAATTCAGGTCCTTTCATGCTTGCTTTTCCCTGAGATCAGAACCAAATGGCATCGAGCAAGGATGGTGCTCTCTTTTTTGTTTCCCATAGTGGGAACCATTAATTTTTTAACCCTCCTATTCAAGAGTGTCTGGGGCATTAAAAGTTCAGGCAGAGAGTGTGACATTATAATACAGAAGCATCTTAGCTTAGAAAATAGATTGAATCCAAAATTCTACTGTCAATAATGTGTACGTACAAAAGCAGAGCAAGGAGCAGGCTCAGCAGGTAAAAGTGCTTACGAACAGGCTGACGACCCGAATGTGAGCCCCAGAACCTGCCCGGCAGCAGGAGATAACTGCCTTCTGTAAGTTGTCCATGGTGGAGCAGGCTCGCGAATGCATGCACACACGCACACGCGCACGCACAAAGGCACACATGCAAACATTCATAACTCAAACTGTAAAAAAGTATTTTAAAAATTTGAAACTATGGCCTAGCACCTGTAGGCTGTGTAAGGAACTAAAACACCTTTGCCTTCTCGGTGTTTACTACTTTTAAGGGTCATTGGAATTTTGTTTCTTTGGTCTTTCTTGGGGGAGGAGTAGGTATTGAGTATTTGTGCTTTTTTTTTTAGTGAAAAATGAACTTGTACACTTTTAACCTGTTTGAGATGGTTGTGTGTGGTTTTAAGAAGCGTGTAGCAATTTTATGTTTGATTATCTAGTGGTGAGCACTTTTGAGTAGAGACTTAAAAGAGGTTTATTTTCTTTCTTTGTGTGTGTGTGTATAAACACAAGTTGTGGAAGTGCTTCTAGAGGTCAGAGGAGTGTGCAGGGTCCCTGGAGCTGGGGTTACAGGCAGTTGTGAGTTGCCTGGTGTGGGTGTTGAGAACAGAACTCCAGTCCTACAGGAGCAGCAAATGTTCACAAGTGCTGAGGCATCTCTCTAGCTCACTGGAAACTTCAGATGAGGGTGTCGAAGGCCCATATTATGGGAATATGAGTTCAGATGGCTCTGTTTTCTGAAGATAGGTGGCCCTTCTCTCTCTCAGGGACCGGGGCCTCTAGATCTAGGGTCCCTGAAGTCATTTATCTGAGATTCCGGGGGTTACTCTGATTAAAAACAAAACAAAGACAAAATTTAAAAGCAACAGGACTGCTGGGCATTGGTGGTGCATGCCTTTAATCCCAGCACTTGGGAGGCAGAGAGGCAGGTGGATCTCTATGAGTTCGAGACCAGCCTGGTCTACAGAGAAAGTTCTAGGACAGTCTCCAAAACAATACAGAGAAACCCTGTCTTGAAAAAAAAAACAAAAACAAAAAGACAAAAAAAAAAAAAAAAAAAAAAAAAGCAACAGGGCCTGGGGCACACACTGAGGGGCCCTGGGTCTCTGGTAGCATTTTCTCTTTCTTCATTGTGCATAATTCAAGGGCAACTCAAGGGAGTCTATCAACTTTCTGCAAATACTTAATTCTAGACATTCAGCTCCAAACTTGGTGGGTATGAAGCATGCGTCAGGATGTCTGGAAGTGTGACAAAGATCCTTTGGCATGGCCCTTGGCACTGAGGTCCAAACCAGGCCCCTTTAAATGTGTGCTTTTATTGGAGCCAGTTGACTGATCAGCCTGCCTGTCTTCTACCTATCCCTTTACCAAAATGTAATTTCCCATTGAAAAATAACAACAACAAAGACACAACAAGAAACCTACAACAGAGCAAAGCATTAGCATTAGTGTCTTAACTGAGGCTTTTCTTTTTGGGGGTGGGGGGTGGTTTTTGAGACAGGGTTTCTCTGTGTAGCCCTGCCTATGCTAGAACTGGCTCTGTAGACCATGCTGGCCTCGAACTCACAGAGGTCTGCCTGCGTCTGCTTCCCAAGTGCTAGGATTAAAGATATGGGCCACCATCTACCTCCCAGAGGTTTTCATTAGTAACCACACATATCTTAGCAAGTGTGCTGATAGGATGCCCATAGCATGCATTCTGGCTGCAGATAAAAAGAAACTTTGCCCCTCAGATGGGAAGTTTCAAAACCGATGCTTTGCTGACACAGAGCCAAGATGTCTCTTCAAAGCACTGTCTTATCAGAGACTGGAAGCATTCAGCTAGTTTTTAAAACATCAGTAAGAAAGGTAGAGACTCAACACTACCTTTGCTGAGAACATTTAAGGCCTGCAAACATGCACCACAAGACATACCTTGCCTTTAGGCTTTAATAAGGAAATAGCAAGCCTGTCAGCCTTTGATTGAAGAGAACTGGATTTCCAGGATGACATAAATCATCGTCAGAGCTCTGCTTGCAAGAGCTGAATTGCTACCAAGTCACTTTTCTGGCTTTGTCAGCACATGCTTGCTGAATGTAGTTACAGATTAGATTCATTTTGTATAGTTTATTTAAATTCCTAGGAGTATTGATAACATTGTTTAGGCTTGTTCTATTTTGTCTGGTTCCAGCTTAGTTACCTAAAGGTAGATTTATTTTTGTTTTTTTCTTTAGAATTTAA